GGAAAACGCAGCAAACTTTTCTGGATTTAGAACACCGGGTTAAATTTGAAGGTCACGCTCGCATTCGCGGCGCTTGCCAGGATTTTCAAATGTTTCAATTTTTATTCTTCCGTGTTGTCAAAACGGCTTCTCGCAATGGGTTGCAATTTTCAGAAAATAACCATAAGATATAATGCTAGAATTCATGGTCATTTTTTTTTTTTTTTGCTTTTAGTTTTGCTCACGTATTTTGTAGTTTTTGAAAGGGTAGCTGCCCACACCCACTTCTTCCGATGTCATTAACCAAGTGACCGAAATCCCTAATATTAGCTGTACACTACATGGAATACTACGATTGAGAGAACTTGATGTATGTTGAATGAGCTTTATCATAGACCATCAACATCAAAGTACCAGGAGGTTTCTGCTGGTGAAGTTGCGGCGTTACCCAGTTCCAAATAAAGATACCAATGCCAAATGAGCGACATTTTTACCGGGAATCAAGATTCATTCAATCCACAGCTAACAAACAACATCACAAGCAAAGTTGTAGCGTGCAGCTCATCAACGACGCTGTCGACGAAAGTCATTCCGTCCGTGGAGTACCGCAGTTGTGACGGCATGTTTGCCAATGCACAATTCTGTGGAGGAACTTTTAACTTAAATTAGACTACGTATGACTGATTCGAAACATTCTATCGAGATCGGACGGTGCCCTATCGTACCAATCCTTCTCCATTGTATTCAAACGAACCACGTGGTGTGCTGTTACATTCTCCTTCAAACCCGGGATTCAACCATTAGGGGCGTTTTAATAAAAAAAAACATCGCAAATCATGCAAATATAGCATTTTAAAACAAGTATACTAAAAAAGAAATGCTCAGCTATGCAAAAGAAGGATAGATACTTTTCAGTATACACATTTCTGTTTATACAATCCTTCACATATTCTACTCCCAATTATTCCTGCGTAAAATGGAATAGCCTCTTTCCATGTTGACATTCTGAGTAAAATCACGTGATAGGCTGTTACAATTCGCTGTTACATATTTATTCGCCGGTCTGGAAAATATGTTTAATTAGCTCTCATTCAAGCGACAATGCATATTTCCCAGTGGGAGTGAACCTAGTTCGAATCTGCCATTAAAAAATAGGGGTGTTTACAGCAAAAAACGAATAATCCTTGAGTGCACATAATACACTGAATTTTATAACAAATCTTGCATTAGTTACAGCAGCAGAATACCACAGAAATATCAGACAAAACATGAAAACACTATATATTGTATTTTGGCCTGAACCCTCTCTATTGCAATTCCAGGAATTACCCCCATATGTGCAACCATTTTCCACCTTGGTATCACCCAACCCTGAAAACAAATTCTTAATACCACGCTGAAGCGTTTGGTAAAAATTGTCACAAGAGAGGGCGACCCGGGCAACGAGGTGCTTGTCACTGTAGCAGATCGATGCATGCACTATATATTTAGAGTATGATGAGATATGCCTTAGTGGGGTAGATAATAATGTTATCACCGTTTTTAGTAGGAATTGATAACAAAACGAGACAAGGGCTGATAATACATTCCACCTGGCGATAGTGCGTGGACCTCCAGCGTGGGCCTGGCACCTTAATTACATGTTTTGTAGAAATGTAAAGCATTAACACAATCTTGAAAACAATTATTAACCATAACTGGTTCCGCCCATTGTAGTTTATATATATATATACATTTGTCATTTTTGTCAACAGTAGGTTCAATTGCAGGTTTTTTTGTATCCACTTCATTACTCGATCCAACCGCGTGATGGCATTCGACATGCTGAGCACATACATCGGAAATATACACCAACATCATAGTTCCAGGGGCAAACTAGAACAAAAACATAGTTGTCTCTCTCGTGAAAATCAGAACCTGGTACGGATGCATGCTCTGGGTGCATGGTACATTAACCCAGTAATTTAGGGACGCTGTGGCCTTAACGTGTTTTCTAATTCGTCAGATGATAGATTAAAATCAACGTGTTTGCATACCGATTCGCACTATGAGAGTACAGACAACATCATTCACGCTGAGAGTACAGACTACATCATTCATTTTAACAGCTACCATGGTGAACTCAATAACACGTTTCATTCGCACATTGAGTATTGCATCAATACTGTGCTGTAGTTTGTTGACATGCCCGGCAACAACTGATGACGATCCGCTGTATCTCTACCCGGAGGTCTTTAATGACCCCGAACGCGACGCCTTTCTGTATGGTATGTTTCCCGAAGGCTTTGTTTGGGGAACGGCTACCTCGGCATACCAGATAGAAGGAGCCTGGGATGAAGACGGCAAAGGAGTTCATATTTGGGATACTTTCTGTCACGAAGGAGGCAATGTTCACGAAAATCAGACTGGCGACGTAGCATGTGACAGTTACCATAAATACCCCACTGATATTGAGTTGATGAAAGACATCGGTGTTCACTCGTACAGATTTTCTATTTCGTGGACCAGACTCATGCCCGATGGCACAACAGCTTACATTGAGCAGCGAGGAATAGATTACTACAACTCCCTCATAGACAAACTCATCGATGCAGGAATCGTTCCCATGGCAACGTTGTATCACTGGGATTTGCCTCAGGCATTGCAGGACATTGGTGGTTGGGAGAATGAAGAGTTAGTTGAGCATTTCAATGATTATGCTAGACTGTGCTACGAAAGCTTCGGGGATCGAGTGAAAAACTGGATAACGTTTAACGAACCATACGTAGTCACCTGGTTGGGGTACGGTACTGGTGTATTCGCGCCAGGAATCGCTGACCCAGGCTTTGCACCGTACACTACAGCGCACACTATTATCAAATCGCACGCTAAAGCGTATCATACGTATGTCGATGAGTTTAAGTCGACACAGAACGGCCAGGTTTCTATAACGTTGAGCTGTGACTGGGGAGAGCCCGGCGATCCGGACAACGAGGAAGATGTTGCTGCAGCGGATCGATACATGCAGTTTACCATGGGATGGTGAGTAAATTCTTTATAGAAGTCCTACATAGACTTCGAGGCGTAGATATGCAGTAGATAGGACTTACTGTGCACTTACTTAATTTCAGCGAAACATTTTAATTCATTTTTGAGATGGAAATACGCCTCAACGCAAGTTCAATCTCAGAAATTGTCTATTCATGTATATATGCATGTACGCATGGAAACAACAAGTGGCCGCCTACAAACAGCGGTATGGCATGTTCACATACCACAAAATATAACGAGAATAAATAAATAAACACAATGAATTAAATCCATTAGATTCAAAGGCCAATGTTTTTAGTCACAAATGGATGGTTGTCTGTCGTACAATTAATTTAAAGCGCGGTGGTCGTCGCGCAGCGCGTGCTCGAATTTCATGTAAATAAACAATTTATTTTACAAGCGTTGTATACGTCGCTATGAGTCCCATATCGAACAGTGCGCGGCACGACGACTGCCGCCCTTTAATATATCTGTTTTAAAAATCACCTCAAATCGTGGATTTCAATTGTAAAGTTAAATTAAGGCAGCGCTGATACTGAAGGCTTGTGAGCGTTTAACTTGGTTTTCAATTTTTAATAATGGAAATTTATAATCGTTGCCATGGCGACAATATGAATTTTAGAAACAGTTGATATCACTTTCCGTCCATAGCAAATTTTGCAGACACAAGATATGACCACTGCAACGGCATCTTATTTTATGCTAATTACTAATTTTAATAAAGCATAAATATTGTTTGAAATGAACTTGCTTCGCCGTTCCGGTTTCTATGCTCTGCTAACCACAATGTAATTAATCTGATTAGAAACAGAATGTTGATATCAAATATCGACTGTCAGCTGGACAATAGGTAATATATCATGATGCCTCCAATTGGCGCCATGTCGTTGGGCGACATGCTGCACACCAAATACATTATGGTTGTTTTCGGACCCCAATTCAAAAGTGCTGTCTACGGGCCTGATACAAAGTACTACTTCTGCTGCCATTCACTTACCATGTCTGAATAGAGAGCTAACTGGGTTACACCCACTTAAAACATAGGTACAAAACATCATTTCCACTGGATTATTGTTATATTTACCTGACGGTACGTGAATAAAATCAAGAACAGGTAGATGTTTGCAATTTCTCTCTATCCAAATGGTACATTCTTGCAAACAAATGTGTTTATTATTTGCTCTGTGAAAAGTTTCTTTATCTTCTCTATCAATTCCCGATGTTCTATTGACTGTCTGTTTGACTCTCCAGGATGCCCAACTTAGCCATTGACTTCACATTTCAGACACGTTTGTTAAAAATGGTACTGTCTTCCCTTATTTCTCTCTAGCTGGTGTTTAAAGTGTTTCTTTGAATTGCGACATTTTACCGGCCTTATTGTGGGTATGCACAAAAGACATATCAGTCCGTATGTGAGAGTTTTCAGTCTGCCAACATCACTCTTTATAATATACTTGGACAACACAAATAATGGGATATACATTTTCCAGAATTATACGAAACATTGGACCTGTATATAGAACCAATAACCATTCTCTAAACGAGAACAGTACAGTTCCCTCACCGATCTGTAACATTTAGAATTACTGGCCATAGAAACGGCTGTTAAGTTGGCGCTCTTTTGTAAGTTGCAAATTTAAAGCCATACAAGTCACTGCATTGCTAAATCGTGCTTGACAGTGTTCTGGTCGAATACAGGCCGTTTCGGTCACATACATTTTTTTAAATATCGATTGAGTCCTTGTAGTTATATACATTTAAAGGGGCACCTTCCAGTTAAGCTTAATTTCACAACAAATTTACTTTCTGGATTAAAATAACAATGGATAACAAAAGATAGATTAACATTGTAAACAACATAAACAATAGTGTCCCATGATTCTTTGGTGCAATCCATGGGATTGAGCGGTTCCCCTTTAATTATAATAACTAGTACGTTGCTAGTACAGCGTATTTTTTATGTATTTAGTTTTAACTCGTACGATGCAGGTACGGCGTATTTATATTTATTCACTATTAGCTCGTATGATAATACAAATTTGTCGTACCTGAAACGTACCATTTAAAACCAAATGCATAAAAATACGCTGTGCGTGCAACGTACGAGCCATCTATAAATATAAATGAAATACATAATTAAATGAATAAAACTGCAATCGATAAGATATAAAACATATGTGTTTTCTCGGGTGAGAATGGTGACCGAAACGCAGCCCACCCTTCTGGGTACTATTAACGGTATTGAAACCACCCAGCAAATGTCAACGGTGATTGTGTAAACCGCCAAGGTTTACCACCTGTAAATCATTCCATTTGACATGCAAGTGAGTTAAACGTTTCTATACATAAATGTCACCCTATTATAGGTACGCTCATCCAGTGTTCGTCAACGGTGACTATCCGGAAGTAATGAAATGGCAAGTTGCGAATAAAAGCATGGAGCAAGGTTACAATGAATCCAGACTTCCCGAATTCACCGAAGACGAGAAAGCTTTTATCAAAGGGACTGGTGATTTCTTTGCTTTGAATCAGTACACGACGTCTATGGTAATCGACATGTATAGAGAAGACAGTCCGCCTCATTATGAACTTGACCAGGTAATGCACGTTTCCTCTTTCATGGGTGTCATCGGGCTCTACGACATTGCGTCAAAAACATTTCGTCGAAAGTCCTTTTCGGTGACTGCATCTGATTCCTCGCTAATAACGCCTAAAATGTGTTTGTTTGGTGCTCTTAAATCTCAATTTCTTTGCCATATAGTACATGTACTACGAATTAATAACATTTGTATAATATTGATTTCTGTTTAATTACAAGTTTGTCGCATTCAGTAGCGCAAAGTCAATAGTTGCCACTAGTAGTTGACTGAGACTGGAAGTGTGCCACATTGAATGATATACAATGTACTTTAAAGGCTATCGCGGAGTGTCGAGGACATAATTTATGGAGGTGTGGCTCTTTAATTTTAGGACAACATTATGTAGTTTATTTACATATTTAATTTCTTAATTTGAATAATACAATAAATGCATGGAAAAAGTATATCTATTCGTACTACTAAATAGGGGAGAGTGACCAACATTCATGATCACAACAACCTTTCAGCAAAACTACTTTACATTGAGTGTGAATCAGGCGTGGACACAACCTGCCAAAAAGGTGACTTTTTCTACGTTTAGATTAAAAAAAATAGTTTCTTTTACACAACTGGCAATTAACCGTAATAATGTTTTCAGATCATACCACTATTATTGATATTTGCATGATACTTAAATAAAGATATATTCATCTTTCGACGAAATGGTCATCCGACGAAATGACGGAATGTCAACAATAAAATTTAAAAAATCCCATTATCATATCGAAGGTGATTTCGACAACTCACCACATTTATCACAATATTATAATCTATGGTTAACGAAATCGAGCCGGTAAATAAACACCAACTATCACGATGACAACAAACCATTTATTTGTACTCCGGCTTCGGTTTAACTGTAGGATGTCTGCCGTTGGCAAGAAGACGAATGGCCTACATCCGGCTCAGACTGGCTGAGACCGGTTCCGTGGGGATTCCGAAGAATAATCAACTGGATCAAGAAAGAATATGGCGATCTAGAGGTCTATGTGACAGAGAACGGCGTTTCGACCAACGACACTGATAACCTGAACGACATCAGTAGAATAACATTCTACGCAGCGTATACAAACGAAATGCTCAAAGGTAAACTAATTTACAAGTCATCTTTAAAAAGTGTCTATTTGTCTCAGTCTATCATTTTAAAATTTAAAGTGCAGTTGTCGTCGAACCGCGTTCTGTTCGATGTGGGACTCATAACGACGTACACAACGCCTGTGAAATACATTGTTTGTTTACATGAAATTCTGACACTCGCTGCGCGACGACCACTGCCCTTTAAATAACGTGTGATGTTTTATTCATCAGCAAATTTTGAAAAACGGAACAGGGAATTCAATTATAATTATTTATTGTAATTTATTTAAATTATATTTAAACCAATACAAATGGTATGAAGTGTAAACAAAATATAGAAAGTACAAAGATACAATATGAACAACAACATACAATATTATAGACCAATATAGGATTATAATTTATCATAAACTGAACATGTTGCGCGGGAGGACACGCAACACGATTCGTTAACGAATACGCATGTGCAGTGAGTGTTACTGTACGTAACAAAACAAAAGAACCAGTACCCTTGACGTATGTAATAATTATTTCATCGAAAAAAAACAGCGTTTTCAATTTATGATGAATTATAGATAGCTCAACGTACTTGTCAATATACAACGTTAAAAAGCATTATTAAAAATTACATCTTCTTGTCCATATTGCATCTTTAATTTGTTCAAGTTTTTAAACATTAATTACTTTCATGCTGTTGCGTTTTATCATCCAGTAACCCGACATTAACTTTTGTTCACTGATTCAGTACCACAAATATACGTTTTACCAATGTTACATGGAGTAAACAATGCGAGAATAAAAAACAAACAAACAATAACTATTACGTCATTTATTTCAGCCATATTGGAAGATGGAGTTAACGTCAAAGGTTACTTTGCTTGGTCGCTGTTGGACAATTTTGAATGGGCATCCGGGTACAGCGAGAGATTCGGACTTCATTACGTAGACTTTGAAAACGATGAACGCCCAAGAACGCCTAAGGATTCATCCAAGTTTTATTCAGACTTGATTGAAAATAATGGTTACCAAGACACCACGTCACACGCCAATGTGGGAAAGTCACTTTCTGTCGCTGGTTATTTCATAATATTACTTGTTAATATTTGTATAACGAAATTCTGGATGTGATGATATGTTGTTTTCTCAAATATTGCGTTGACTTGCGATACGTTGGCTGCGACGTTTTATGAATCGTGTTTTGGGTTTCCATTATAAATGAATATATATATATATATACATACACTGGCAATGTCAATGGAATTCATGATCATCCTAAAAGTGTCGCCTCGATTACAAGATTCTTTATTACGTTTTAAAACCGATTAATTTAAAGGGCGGCGGTCGTCGTGCCGCGCGTGCGCGAGATATTGGTCTCATATAAACAAAGGTGTCGATTTTGACTGTTGCGCACACCAACTAGTTCAAACTGAGAGATTACCAAGCTTTAATGAATTTAGTATTGTCTCGGTGCTTGGAGAGTATCGATGGAGTCGGCGGTGGTAGTAGCGCCCAGGGCAAAAGTCGTACTCGTGATTTCATTAAAAAAGCGCATTCGATTATGGGAATGTCAATGTTTATCAGCACATGTGTTGCACATGCGCGGCGCGGCGACTACCGCTCTTTAAGCGGTGGTCGTCACGCACTGCGTGTGCGAATTTCATGTGTTTACATGCGTTGTGTACGTAGCTATGAGTAACAGGACGCGACGCGACGACCGCCGCCTTTAAAACGTCTACATCATCTACAACAGTACAGTGGTCCCAATAACAAAATGATTAGTTTCTGCAATAATAAGATTGACTAGAGTGGGTACAACAGAAGACTCGATATCTAATCATACATGTACCCCAACCCGCGTCATTAAAGAACGACCAGTAATGCTAGTCTTATATATACCATATTTTATGACGTCATTGATTGGCCATTATTTTAAGTGAAATTAAAATAAAGACTCGAATAAAACCATGTTGTTCACTAACACTGTGATGGTGCGATGATATCATTATTATCATTAATATGTTAAAATCATTAGCATAATCGTATGCCTGTCAAATTATTAGGATAATCGTATGCCTGTCAAATTATTAGGATAATCGTATGCCTGTCAAATCATTAGCACAACCGTATGCGTGTCACATCATTAGCATAATCGTAGGCAAGTCAGCGTATCACCACGTTGAGCGTAGGAATTTTTTTTGGTTTTACCTGTGTTTTTTGTGTTTCTTTCGGGTTTACATCAGAATTGTATGTTTATACAAAATTGCTCAAACCCACTTACGGCATGGGACCAACGCCACCTGCATGTTCCTAGCTACTTTGATGATGGTCTAGGTTGTTCGCTTCGACATGGCGAGTGCAGGTTTCAGAACAAAAGAACAACTCAGTCAGTCGTGTGATGGCGCTGAGTAATGCAAATCGCGTATTGGAGTATGTTCAGGGGCTGGGTTACGATATAACTTGACTGTAAATGTGGTTTCATTCGAAGAAATTTGTTAGCTAGAATTGCGCATGTATTCGTGATTTCGATACACTTTAGTTTAAAGGGTCCTCTCTTATACGGTGTATTGTCTATAGATACACTATGTTTTTTTGGTCTAAGAAGTTATAACTATTGGCTTGGGACATTCCATTTTTTTAGTTACTTTACGTACCTCTAAGGCTTCTACAATGTTGTCGGTGAGAAGTGGGCGGTTTAATCAGTTGGTTAAACAAAAGGCTTCGAAGTATTATATGACATTTAAAATTAAACTGAAGCTGCTATGTATTGCAAATACATACGAACAACACCCTGGTCATACATCGTCGAGAATTTACCTTCCTCTAAATCAACACTAATCTTATGAACGAATGATGATACTGCCCGCCCAAAAAAACACGTGATTTTGACAATGTTTACATTCAAGTTCTAGCAGGAGTTTGTGTCGACATTTTGAAATATTACTACCATAAAATACAGGCCGACCTTATTTTATTGTATTAATAGAGTGTGCACCAATATAGGTACATACTACTGTCCATCCTGTTATATATCGCTCACATGTCTGCAGTGTTCAAAATGCACACAGCGCTGAAAGTACATCAAGCTTTTCGACAATTCTGGAACTACAGATCTTGCGGGTTGTGTATTGACGATATTTGTTCAATGCTTATACGTGTATTGAACATCGTGGGGTCGTTGTACATGTAAATGTGTTTTGCAGATCGAAATCAAAATGATCGACAGATGGACTATTTGTTGTCTGCAATGACCGCAGTCACTGGTGGTTTTTTATAACTTTATGGGAACCCACGGACACCTAACAGGTTTTTGAAACTTTATGATACCCGACAGAGCCCAGTCAGTGACACCTGTTGGATTGTGAAATTCACTACTCCAGTTTCGTGTTGGATTATTGAATCACTATTCCAATTTTCTTCACTTCAACATTTTCTAGAATGTCATTCATTACGGTCATTCATACGTATAAATTAGAGGTAAAATACATAAATATAAAAACAAACCATTTTGAGAATCCGTACACTAGGGGGGGGTGTATGTTTTAGTATCCTCTTATTTAGTTTTCTATAATAAACTACTGTAAATAGTTAATTATTCACTGGGTTTTAATTTTGCTTATTTCACTGACTGAAAAATACGCTAAATTAAAACCCAGTGAATATGTAAAATTCATCATAAAACACATTATCTAAATGATAAAACCGTGAATTTAAAACCCACTGAATATGCCTGAAATGGTAAATCAACGGAATTTTAATCTGGTGAAAATTAGTCATTTTACAGTACCACCTTCTATGTCAGTTTTAACAATTTGTCAGATATGCTTGTGGTTAATTGAAAATAAAGTACATTGTAAATGTGTTGCAAGGTTTATCAGGCCATGCATCAAAGTTGAACAAACACTGTGACAGATAAAAGCAAATTAGGTTATTCAGTCATGTGAGCGCCCTCTGCCGTTGAAATGTGGAAAATACTTCTCAATCGAAGTGCTTTTATTCTCTACCACCGAGGTTTCGCTGCTCAACAGAAGTGTTTTGTTTTTTTAATACATTTGCATACCTATGACTTTAAAACTAAATGTGAGGCGATACGTAAATAAATAGAAATAATGTCATAGTTTCATAATGTCATACTAGTAAATAAGATCATGTGTTTCTCCAAGTACCATGCCGATCGCCGGTTTCCCGGCTCTCATATACTAGTATGCACCTTGTAATGTTTATGATGGAACGGTAAACAACTCGTATGAATAACAGCCCCCCTTGTACAGATACATGCTTTGAGTGCAAGCTACCCAGTAAATCATGAGGTTGAAGTGTCGTCTACTTGTGAGATTAAAATCAGGGTGTCGGTACCCTGTCTCTCATTCACTTTAGCAGCTACTATGGAGAATTTGATAGCAAGTGTCATCCGCACGGTGGTTATTGCATCAATACTGTGCTGTAGTTTGTTGACATGCACGGCAACAGCTGACGACGATCCGCTGTATCTCTACCCGGGGGTCTTTAATGACCCCGAACGCGACGCCTTTCTGTATGATATGTTTCCCGAAGGCTTTGTTTGGGGAACGGCTACCTCGGCATACCAGATAGAAGGAGCCTGGAATGAACACGGCAAAGGAGTTCATATTTGGGATACTTTCTGTCACGAAGGAGGCAATGTTCACGAAAATCAGACTGGCGACGTAGCATGTGACAGTTACCATAAATACCCCACTGATATTGAGTTGATGAAAGACATCGGTGTCCACTCGTACAGATTTTCTATTTCGTGGGCCAGACTCATGCCCTATGGCACAAAAGCTTACGTTGAGCAGCGAGGAATAGATTACTATAACTATATCATAAACGCTCTCCTCGATGCAGGAATCGTTCCCATGGCAACGTTGTATCACTGGGATTTGCCTCAGGCATTGCAGGACATTGGTGGTTGGGAGAATGAAGAGTTAGTTGAGCATTTCAATGATTATGCTAGACTGTGCTACGAAAGCTTTGGGGATCGAGTGAAAAGTTGGATAACGTTTAACGAACCATACGTTGTCACCTGGTTAGGGTACGGTATAAACGTATTTGCACCAGGAATATACGACCCAGGCTTTGCGCCGTACCGTGCGGCGCACACTATTATTCTATCGCACGCTAAAGCGTATCATACGTATGTCGATGAATTTAAGTCGACACAGAACGGCCAGGTTTCTATCACGCTGAGTTGTGACTGGGGAGAACCCGAAGATCCGGACAACGAGGAACATGTTGCAGCAGCAGACCGATACATGCAGTTTACCATGGGATGGTAAGTACATTCACTATATGTCTTATAGACTTCGAGGCGTAAATAAGCTGTAGTCACATTCACTAAGAACTGAAAATCTAAATAAATTAATCGATTTATAGTTTCGTTTTCCAGAATTTGTATAATATGTAAAATACATAAGAATAGAGAGAGATTAGGTAAAAGAATGTTCTACCATGGAACTATAGTTCCATGGTTCTACCTATATAATGAGAAAAATTTTGTTAATTTGCCCCCCTCCCCACGAATCTAATAGATGTACTAGTATTTATTTGAATATAAAATACAGGTACGCTCATCCAGTGTTCGTCAACGGTGACTATCCGGAAGTAATGAAATGGCAAGTTGCGAATAAAAGCCTGGAACAAGGTTTGGATGAATCCAGACTTCCCGAATTCACCGAAGACGAGAAAGCTTTTATCAAAGGAACTGGTGATTTCTTTGCTTTGAATCAGTACACGACAACTGTAGTAGTTGACATGTATAGAAACGACACTGAGCCTCATTATGAACTTGACCAGGTAATGCATGTTACGAGGTTATTTATAAATATCTTTTTTCATAATCAATCAAAAAAAGTCACAAAACACCAACTACCGGTTTCACATTTCAGTTACAACAAAACATTTAATTTTGGCTTTTGGTATTTTACTGTTTAATCTCACAGGATGTCCACCGTTGGCAAGAAGACGAGTGGCCTACATCCGGTTCAAGCTGGTTAAGACCGGTTCCGTGGGGTTTCCGAAGATTAATCAACTGGATTAGGAAGGAATATGGCGAGCTTGACGTATATGTGACAGAGAACGGCGTTTCGACCAACGACACTGATAACCTGAACGATGAAAGCAGAATAACATTCTATAAAGCGTATACAAACGAAATGCTCAAAGGTAACCAACCAAAGTGGGCGTAGTTTATTCGTATGCAAAATCATTACAAATGACATAGCATTTTACGATGTATTGTAAGGCTATATACATGTAACACCTAGAAAAGATGAGAAAATAAAAAAAACAAGCAAACAAACAAACAAAAAACAACTCGCGCCCCTTTATAACTATTATGCTATTTATTTCAGCCATATTGGAAGATGGAGTTAACGTCAAAGGTTACTTTGCTTGGTCGCTATTGGACAATTTTGAATGGGCATCCGGGTACAACGAGAGATTCGGACTTCATTACGTAGACTTTGAAAACGATGCACGCCCAAGAACGCCTAAAGAATCATCTAAGTTTTATTCCAACTTGATCAAAAATAATGGGTACATAGATCCCGTTACGGTGCCGTCCCAACCGATTACCCAAGCCCCCGCTTCATACGCTAATGAGAAAAAGTCTTTCTCTGTTGCTGGCTATTTCATATTAGTATTTGTCAATATTTATATAACGACATTGTGGATGTAATTATATGTTGTTTTTTTCTCGATTAAATTAGCAAGACAGCGATGAGACCTATTCTATGAATCGTGATGTATTCAATAGGGTGATGTAGTAGATTGTCCACTCCCGATCGATGATCGCCCTGAAAACATAATAATATAACCGCGGTTACAAGATAATTTATTGTGTTGTAAATAAAGTTGACTTGAGCCAATAATAAATGTCCATTGTTAATTTGATTCCCCACCTCCTTCGCTGTTTGTCGCTACCGGGGTGATTTACATCCCCAGGCTTCTGAATTCATGATTTTATTCATAATGTATTAAGGTTTGGGCGGAAGTTGACGTTTTGGACCTTGACGCGTTTTCTTCGAAAGGACAAGGACAGATTTTCAAGGACACAGATCGTTTGGATCAGAAGGTTTCTTTCGGCACCTCAGGTTTTGATGAACACAGATCATTTCCTCTTCAAACAAAGAAGCGTTTTTTTGACACTTTTTAAAACCCAGATTTTTTAAATAATTCAGAACGACAAAAAGTACTCCATCATTAACAATATATGATTTTTTCAGCCTATTTCACCAGGCTAGATTTTGAGATATTGCATAATATCTCTGCCATAGAAACCTGTGGTAAAAGCGTTATAATAGTGTCAAAATGGCAATTTTTCACTAAAAAAATCCCATCAATTTCTCGAAAAAAAGGCTGGTGACACCCAACTTTTTTTAGGCCAATATCCTTATGTTGCCTTGGAGTACAATTTATTGCAAAATGAATAAATTCGTGTTATTTTTTAATTTATGATTAGGCTTCTACCTTAAATAACTTTTTTGTTATCGCTTTTTGTATTAGTATATTCCGACAAGTAAATAAATAACAAACAAACATTTTCGCGAATGTCTCTTGGTGTCTAGTTATTATATTAAGGTAGAGATGCAGTTTATTTGGCTTGCTTTTTAATTGAGTAATTAGACAATGAAGATCGTATTATATATCCAACATGTTATATATTTTCTGAAAGCTTATTATACAAACTTTGTAAAACTTGTCTTTATTTTAAATATCCAGAATGCGTTTTTGATTTTGGGTCAAAAATATGCTTTTTTGGTACTAGTATGCCTTCGAGAAAAAACATTGCCTGACAGTGAATAAATATATCAAACACTCTGAAGGCTTTAATATCTCATCAGGTTATTCATTTTGTTTTTAAACTTCTTACACATAGTCTGTTAGGTTGCACCCAGGCTTTCCTTCAGACAAAAAAAAAACAAAAACATTTTTTTAAAGAAAAAAGTACCAACAAAAAAATTTGGGCGAGAAAGTCTGGTGGCAATGTAAGGATTGATTCTTTGAAATTATTTCTTTGTCACGATGGGAATTTTTTAATGTTTAGCTACATTAAAAAAAATATACATCCATAATAATCAAAAACAAACTTGGACCAAATTTCACACTAATGGGCAAAATGTTCAGGCTTCAAAACGATCAGATAAAAGATTGTCTGCGTTATTAGAACCACATGACTGAGATCTGTTAGTTGATAGTTATCGTACGGGTACGTTAATAATAATTACCGCATTTTTACTTGAATGAACAAGTATTTTGTTTGCAACAATTATTGTGAGTTGTTGGCTGTCACAGCGTACGTGTGTTACGTAACTCAATGACGAATGACGTGGCCAATTATCTTTATTAGTATCGCACCTGATAATTCCATATATCACAGTGAACTACATGCTACATTTCATCATTCGCACATGTCGTTGATCTTAAAATCCTTATTTCGAAATCATGGTGTTGATGTTTAATCAGATGTCAACATTTTAAATGGTGAGGGGGGGGGGGGGGAGCTGTACTTCACTTAGATCACGTGAAAACAAATCCGTTTAGAAAAAAAACAGCCCACTCACTATAGTTTTCAACAAAAACACAGTAATTTTCCAGTAAATGGCCATTGTTTAGAACAAAGAAACTAGTGAAAAAGGACTGTTTTGCTTCCTATTAAATCATATACACCCAACACACTTGAGTTGACATGTTCATCATCGTTAAAGAAACTATTGTTAGTCACTCACGTAATAAATCATGCAACCTCGATCAAATATTGACATCGATAATCAAGAAATGCATTGTCACTATTCTACCCAGCATAACCTATACTGTCAACCAATCAATCTCTACGTGCTGTGTGTCAGCTATTTTGAAGAAAAGGCTAGTCACTCCACTACCCAAGAAATTGCAATTAAATCCCGAAAATTTGAAAAAAAAACTACCACCCTGTGACAAAACTTCAATTTATTTCAAAGGTTATTATTATAAATTATATGTATTGAATACAAGATTTCGTGTCAAATTAAATACTAGTATACTATTACTATGTAATCTTGTTTCAAGGGATGGAGTTTTCTTCAAAATGTGTTTCAAACTGTGGATTTGGTCTCCCTTACCGTGGTTTTCACGAAAAGTTGGTGCCTCGCATACCTGTATATAATTAATACAATAATAACTAATGTCGTTCACTATGAAACAACCGACGTCTGCACTGACAAGGCTTGACAGAACCAAATTGGCAAATTTCAAAAGATCAACGCCATTCATTGCACAACAAATGTTAAAAACTATAGGGGCATAGCCTCTTTATCATTACAAATTTCGTGCAAAATAGTTTACTTCCTGAATAAATATAATGTATTTAAACCCATTATACCATCACCATACATGTTATCTATTATTTTATCAGCACATATGTATTAACAGAAAAACATATTTATTTGAATGGTACAGGAATACAATATACACTGAAGCTTGCCTTCTCTTGCGACCATTTTGTCTAATCACAAATCCAAACATAATTTCTATTGGTGTCATCACTCAAAGTCTTTACTCTAATTAGAAAAAAAAAATACTAAATTCATTTCCAGGATTCTTCAGATGAGCTTTCTCAAAAACTGTACAAATCTGAAGGCAGAGTATAATTCTTCCAGGAGTTAGTAACAGATTTCCTGCAGATC